TGAAGGGAGGCAAAAGGCAACCTGGCTATGAAAAGTCATCTTCTTTTGTTGTTGTTGTTGCTGTTGTTGTTTTCTGAGAGAAGATTTCTCTGTGCAACAGTCCTGACTGTACTGGAACTAATTGTGGATAAGGCTGGTCTCAAACTCACAGAGCTCTGCCTGCTTCTGCCTCCCAAGTGCTGGGATTAAAGGCATGCACCATCACCTACTAGCTGAAATGTCCTCTTCTGAGTAATGCACAGCCATTGCAGTCACAAACTCTCAACATGTTGATGAGTACAGAGAATGAACAGCCAGAAATGGATGAAGGAGGGTCACAGAGGACCCATTATCCCTCACTAATAAGCTGCTTCCTAGCTGTAGATTCAGAGAGGAAAGAGTCATTTCCTCTATTGTATACACAGGGGTAACTGACCAGGCTCAAGAGAATAGTCTCATCCCAGTGGTCCCATATAGGTCTCTGATTAAATGAGTCACAGCCCACAGTCATGAATACGGAAAAGTGATGGGACAGGAACATGCTATGTACTTCCTAACCCTTGGAAAATTTCATGACAATCCAATTATGATTAAGAGAATTTTTGATTATTGTTAAGAGGACAACAATATCCTAGCCAAACTATAGAATGCCATGAAAAGGGAGGAAAGGGAAGGACTTTTAAGGGCAAAAAAAAAAACACAAGAAGAACATTGGTATCTGCACAAGCTAGCCAGAAGCTCTTTTGCTCTTCCAAAACTAAGTAGTCAAAGCAACCTCAAAATGGTCCTTGACTGTCTATATAAGCAGGAAACAAAAGCCAAAAAGAATGTAGTAATATCATAAGAAGGATATATTTACTGTGCATTTCTGGGGGGGGGACACTGAGTCAGGCTTACTAGGAAATTATCTTGCATGAACTTGAGTCAGAGACAAACAACTAGGAGTCACCGAAATAAATGCCTAGAAAAATGGAGTATTTTCTATAGTCATTGCAAAGAAATGCAGTTTTAAGGAGAGGGATGTATATAAAAATGGTGTGGGGGGGCTGGAGAGATGGCTCAGAGGTTAAAAGCACTGGCTGCTCTTCCAAAGGTCCCGAGTTCAATTCCCAGCAACCACATGATGGCTCACAATCATCTCTAGTGTGAACTGATGCCCTCTTCTGGCATAAAATCATAGGGCACTCATAAAATAAATTAAAAAAAAAGAAATAAAATAAAATAAAAATGGTGTGGGGAGAGCACAAGCAAAATGCATTATGTACAAGTAGATGATTATGAGATATTGACAAAGAACTAAGTTATTTAAAAAAAACCATACGACACAACTGCAAAGGTTCTAAGACATACAATCAAGGCCAGCATGTCATTCCCTCTCATGATGGCATTGAAAACACTATGTAGCCAAAGGAGGCCTGCAATGAGTGTTTCCCCTGCCTGCATCTTCTACTTAACAGGGACTACATGTGTTCTTATTTTGTAATTTCTTCCTGTACCATTTCCGTCCTTATTCCTAATGTGGAATATGTTTCTGTTCTCTTTCTGTAGTCTCAATATGACAATGAGGTCATTGATGTAGAAGGTATTTTATGTATTTATTAATGCTTTGGACCAGGAAGCCATAACAACCCAAGACTCTCTAGGAGGCCCTGATGAAAGGACAAAGGGAACTTTAGTCCAGTGTCCTCATCCAAGATCAGACATGAAGCCAGTCTGATGCTGGGGCCATTGCCTCCTAGTAGATGAAGTTGCTGGTTTGTGGACAGGACTCTGCCTCCTGGGCTTGGTTCTTATCCTCGTGGATCTGTCTGATGTTCCCCATGCTTTCTTTCACAAAACAGACTTGTCTCTCTGCTAACCTTGCCCCTTTCCCTACTGCTAATAGTATATGAGATAGTGTATCTCTTAATAGATTTGTGTGGTGTAAGGTATAACTTTTGCAATAACTCTCATCTAATTATTGATTTTCACTTCTTTATTTCTTACACTATGTCTTACTGCTCAACCCCTCAGTTTTCATGACCCTTACTCATGCTTGTTCGGATCAGTTCTGAACGAATCTGATTCACACTACATTATATTAAGCTGACTTCATTATTCAATTTTGGCTTTATTGAGATATCATTGACAAAAGGTATATATTCAAGGTAAAAGTGTTTAAACTTTTCATATACATCTTCATATGCAGATGTGTTAACAATGAAAAAAAAGGTCCTGAATTTGAAGGAGAGTAGAGAAGGATCTACGGAAATGTCTGAAGGGAAGAAAGGGAAAAGAAAAATGCTGTAACTATAGTAGAATCTCAAAAATGAAAATTAAAGAAAAACACACAAAAATGATTCTTTCTTCATTCCTTTCTTCTTCCTCATTTTATGCATTGTTCACTGACAAAGCATTTGCCTTATTTATAAAACAAAGGAACAACCAAATCAGATCCCCAAATTTCTCAGAATTTCCTAGAGATTTGTGGTTATATTTTGTTCCCCAAAATATTGTGCACCCTAATAAACTTATCTGGGGTCAGAGAAGAGAACAGCCACAATATTAAACATAGAGGATAGGCAGTGGTAGCACACACCTTTAATCCTAGCATTCCAGAGACAGAAATCCCTCTGGATCTCTGTGAGTTCAAGGCCACATTGGAAACAGCCAGGCATGGTGACTTTATCCCAGAAAGTGAGCCTTTAATTCCAGAGAGTGATGGCAGAAAGCAGAAAGTTATATAAAGCGTGAGGACCAGAAACTAGAACCATTTGGCTGGTTAAGCTTTTAGGCTTTGAGCAGCATTTCAGCTGAGATTCATTCTGGATGACGACTCAGAGGCATCCAGTCTGAGGAAACAGGATGAGCTGAGAGATTGGCAAGGTGAGGTAACTGTAGGTGGTTCTGCTTCTCTGATCTTCCAGCATTCACCCTAATAACTGGCCTCAGGTTTGATTTTATTAATAAGACTCTTAAAGATTCGTGCTACAGAGACCAGTCATGTCTGCACTATGACTGTGCACCTGAGGCAGATCATGTTTTCTGACATCCCTGAGTCCTCCCTACTCCATGAAATGCAGAGTGTGATCTCCCAGGATTGGTAGAGGCCAGAGTATGATCTCAGGGTGGACATTTCTTCCTGGAAGAAGGGAGCTTCACATGTCCCTGTCTCGGGGTCACAATGCACAGCTGGGCATAGGTCACATCATGTGGCTCCTCTGTTGTAGCAGCCTGCAGTGGGAAAGTGTAGAAGAAAGTCCAGGTTGGGCACTGGGAGTGTGGGGAACTAGAAAAGTCAGGACCCACCTGTTCATCTATCACTTGATTTCCTTTTGACTGTGTGTCATTGGAGGCCAATAATTCATTTGGCATGAAAGAAGAATAGGTGATCTCTGTCCTTCTAAGTCTCGAGGGCTTCACCTGGGCATACAATTCTTTAGAGGGGTCTTCCTCATGTTGGCTCTGCAGCAGAGAGAGACAATGAAACAAAGCGAATTGATGTGGTGTCTCAGACGCTGTCAACACATACTTCTACAGGGAGCAGGAATGATACTTCAGACATTTTTATTAAAGTAAACTATTGCTGAAGGGGTCTTCTGAAACTCTCTAGCAATATAAGGGTGCATACCAGTTACTTCTCTGTGCTTCTGATATTATCCCTAAATATTTATGTCCTCTGCAGTGCTTCTATCTTCTGGAAAGAGAATGCCCCTACCCTGAGGACACTTGGATCTACCAAGCTGCACACCTAGATGTAGAACTTCATCACAGGTGTGTATGAAACTCTACTCAGGCTTCTCCACAAGAGGCATCTTTCAAGTTCCCTTAAAATTCAAACTGATCATCTCTGCCTCACAAAACTCAACCCATATCCTCTATATATTTCCCTCACACACTTTGCACTGCTCGGTCTCAGTATATTTCCATACCACTTCCCATCTGAGCTGGTCACAGTGGGTAGAGAGTTCTGTCCCTGGCTGTATCTGCAGCCCTTACAGAAGCATGGTCAAGAGGGAGACACGGGAGCTGGGGAGAGGAGTCAAGCAGCAGAGTGGTTGCTATGCAACATGAGCACCTGAGTGTGATCCATGTGGCTGCATAAAAAAAGGCCAAGCAGTATTTCACATGCCTGGGACCTAAGTGATGATGAGGGAGCAACTGGTGCCCAGTGCTCAGTGGCACCAATCCATCCAAATAAATAGCACCATGGACATTAAGAGAGTCTGACAGAGAAAATGAGTTAGAAAAAAATAGATGAAGACATCACATCAGATATTGACCCCTGTCTTCTGCTTGTGCTTAAACACATGTGCACACACATTCTCAGGCACATGGATCTCACTTACTTGTGTTTCATGCTCATTTACTTCTTAGTTTTATCACTAGAGTTTAACACAAGGCCTTATACATCTAAAGTACTCACTTTACCATTGAGCTACAACTGATGACCCTCATTTTCTCTTTTGTGCCTCTAAAATCACTTTAGAAACCAGAGAGATGTTGAGGAGTCAGAAAGTTGGAGCCATATTGTCAAAGTAAACAAAGAAAGAATGAGATCACAGCATACACAATATAATTGCTTCAAGAAACAAGGAGCCAGCTGTGGATGATACGAAGGGCTCAAAAGTGGGAGAACAGAGATTGCTGCAGCATTATATTGGGTCATAATATCTTAGCATTGTGGATAAGCAAGAGTCTCACCAGGACATCCAGCTCCATGCTGTCTGCAGGCTGTGTGACCTTCACAGTAGCATCTGTCATAACAAACATGCAAGTTATCCCCTGAACAGATTCCCAGGACATCTCACATCCCCAGACCCCTGCGATATCCCACATATGGAAGGAGAAGATGTAGGGGGTGTGGGTGCGCAGAGAGGGTTCAGTGTCCCAGGCCCTCCTCCACCCCTGGGATGCCGAGATCTCAGACATCTCCCTCCTCCCGTGTCCTCTTCCTCTCACACAAGATTTCTTCCTGGATGGCAGGAGCTGGTGTGGATCTGTGGAAAGAAGAGGGTGTCAATTGACAGCGATGGAGTCAGGCAGGTGAGGTCAATGTTTCTGGGCATGAGTTACCTCTTCTGGAAGCTTTTGCCCTTGTTCGCTGAGTCTGCAGGATGTTGCAAGTCAGTCTTTGTCTGCACTGCAAGGGAGGAAGGAGCCTCAGCCAGGAGGGTTGAGCCCCCTACCTAGCACTTTAGAAAAAGAAGGGACCAACTCATTGCATGTCTGATAAAATCATCCAGTCGATGGAAGAGTCCATACAATAGAGGACATTGCACACATTTCCAGATCTCATTTTGTGTTGAGATGCTACAGAAGTGTTTCTAAGCTAATGTATACCAATCTGGGTTTTCCCTGGGGCTGATGCCCTGGGCCTCTGCTTAGATAGCCCATAGTGGGACCCACTCCACACTGAGAACCAGGCCTCCCACACCCTACTCACCCCCCTTCCTGTCGTTCTTCTGATGCCTGAGTCTGAGGATAAGGAAGAGGATGAGGAGGAAGAGCAGGAGGAAGAAGGCCACAGAGACACCAATCACAGCCTTTTGGTATCCTTCCAGTTCTATGAGACAGGGGACATCATGAATGAAGAACTGTAAATTAGAACATATGGTGTGTGACTGAAGAGGCTATCACAGAG